GGGAAAGATTATGCCAATATTAAGAAAGAAAAGTCACCTCGGTTCAGAAAGGTAAAACCACAGTGAACAACAAAAATCGGACACTGGATATAAAACGTAACCTGACTTCCATCCCCAAAAGATGTGAAATAAATTTCACAAGATGGCATTAATTACTGATAAAGCTTATTAATGAGAAAGCACAAATGTGGGTGTTAATCTGGAAGGTAAGGCAACACTAATCCCCCCCATGCCTTCTGACACTGCGCTTGCCTTTGTAAGGACGAGCTTCCAACGGCCTCCCAGGCTCCCCAATCAGAGAAGAATAAACATCAATTAAGTATCATTTTAACTAACTTGGTCCCGTGGCAGATCCTGTGGGAGCTTCGTCCCGAGCTCTCTCGAAGCAGAGCTGCTCTCCAAGCGCAGCAGGCAGCCGCATGGCTCTCTTAACACATGTTCACAAAATCATCAGTTGTAGTGAACGGGACAAAAAAAACCAACCCCAAAAATGGTGGTGAGGGAAGTACTTCATGACTGCACTTCAGAACATCTTTGTAAACTAAGTTTTTACTTTTATCCTGTTCCTAATTTCAGACTTCAAAACTATGAGCTGTAAGCAGTTTCAGAAAGTATTTAAAAAAGAAAACGTATTTGAAAAGCCCCTCACAGCATGGGTGTGCTGGCAGTGGTAAGCTGCAGCCTCTTGCTGATCTGCGCCGCCTGTTCCCCTGTTTCCAGAAAGCCCGGACAGTCCCAACGTGCGTGTGCAGCGCCCTCAGAGTGATCCTCCAACTACGGCAAGGGCTAATTACCTTACTGTCGTTTGACGCTTTGGGGGAATAAGTACATTATGTGGTGCAAAATGCGTTTTAAATTACCCACACACTTTTAAAACCCGATTCTTATCCTTCGGGGCACTTGGAATTGTTTTTATTTTTGTGGAATATGGCCAAAAACCACAGGCTATCTCATGAGCACTGGGAGAACAGACAGGTTAACATCGCGTGCGGTGAATTCACCAACAGCAGACACTCGTGGCGTCCGACCCCTGCCCAGCCCTCGCAGCAGCTCCAGCCCCAGCGCTGCGCTGCAGCGAACGCTGCTGGCGCGAAAGCACAAAGCGCTTTGCTGTACGGAGATCAGCTCCAAAAAGAAGGAAACCTAGTTAAGCAGGCCCTCTGCCTGTGGTTTGCGGTTTGCTTGGATCACAGCTGCTCGTAATTGCACACAGGTAAAGCAACCTTACAAAAGCTGTTTTTAGGACAGAACTAGTTGAGGATCTCACTCGCGTGGTGAGATCTGCTCGGGCAGTGACGCCTGACCACAGCACACCGCCAGTTGCCTTCTTTGCAGCCACGAGTGCTGTGTCGTTCTTGTTCTTGTTACTATTAGAGATGTGCTTTTATCCATGAATATTTGAATAAAGTCAGTTGTGTCAGACCTAATCTAACAAGCATTAGCGAATACTTGGATGCCTAATAAAACATACATGTATTGGTAATCCTGTTACCTGTCAACGCGCACAAGACCTCTGGACCTAAGGAATAACAGGCGAAGGCAGGTGGCGAGTTACTTCGTGCTCACGGGGTGGTCAGGAGGCGTCCAGACAAAATGGAGCCAGCAGCGGGAAACAGAAATCCTGGGACCTCTGTCCCAAGGCAGGATGGGCCTTTAACTGAAATGCTTAAACAAGAATGTGGAGGCGTCTGTCACAACCCTTTCATGCAAGGAGAGGGGAATATTTTATTTTTGCCCCTACAGGGAAACATAAAACTATACTTTCCTGGTGATAAATATCCATGATGGGTATGAGTGACAGTTATGGATCGTTTGTTAGGACTGGGAGACATTAATGGTGTCAATTTAATAGACCAAAAGGGACAAATGTGGACTTCTGGACTTAAATCTCATCAAATTAAAGTTAGCACCTTTAAAGCTTTGGGAGGCTTGCCCCGATCTCATGCAGTGAACCAGAAACTGTATTCATTATCCACTGCAGCTCTTTGCAGAATCTTGAGGGAAGATTGGGCTTCAGCTAAGGAAATCGGAGATGAAGTTATTAAGCATTCAGAGGAAACTGGTACGGAAGTCCCAGAACAAAAACGACAGGGACCAAGGACTGACATTACATTCTTGGGTATTAAGTGGACCCAAGATGGGGAACAAATACCAGAAAAGGTATTATTGACATGGAGAAATTACAGAATCCAACTCATGTTAAGGAATTACAGGCTTTACTGGGAACTCTTTGTTCCTGGAGGAGACGTACCCCAGGGTTCCCCGTTGCAGCGTGGCCGCTGTAGGACTGCTCGGAAAGCCAGCAGCGCGGCAGCGGGGATCAGCTCGGCAAGCCAGCCTGTCCGAGTTCGCAGCAGCAGTTCAGCAATTTGCAGTCTTGGGATTGGCTCCCCATGGTCCTACAGAAGGGCACCGGGAATCTTCTGAACATGGAAGTACGGGAGGATTGTGGCAAGAGAAGAGGCCTGTGTTATCTGACTCCTGTGCTTGGAAGCAAACTGAGGGAAAAAACACGCATTTAGAGAAAGGATTGCGTGCTTTGGAATATGCACTGCAGGTTGGTCTTAGCGCTTACACCACACAAAAGATTTCTTTAGTGGGACCTTCGAAATTATTAACATGGTTAAGGGAAGGCGGAGAGATCACTCAGAAGTTAACTATATATAAGACCACTACTGCCATAATAACAAATGGCAGATTTAATGAAGACAGAGAAAGATAGAGGTAGACAAAACTAACCCTCAGACTGGAAATGTCAAGATCTCTTCTGTTGAAAACTGTGAAAAACTGCATTCTCCATTTGAAGCAGCACGTCCTTATTCCAAGGAGGCAGGAGAGCAGCCACGTGTGTGGTTTATCGAGGCGAGTTCTGAGAGAGTAAAAGGACAGTGGAAGCACAGGACAGCTGGAACAGAAATTAGAACAGGGAGACAGGCAGTTACGGGGGGACGGTTCTGCTCAGCCAGGGGAACCGACGGCCCTTGCTGCGGTCCCAGAGGGCGGGCTAAGCATACACACACCGATTCCTATGGGGCTGTAAAGGGGGTTTGGAGTGGGCTCCGTTCTGGGAGACGAAAAGCTTTGTAATGAATGTGGCAGTTAAATATGCTAAAACCAGAATGGCTACCAGATTAGAATCCTTTGTGTACTAAACGAGCCAGGGGAAAATGGGCTACGCAGCAAACAGACCACACTGGTCCCCTTACAGGGCAGTTTAAATACATTTTCGTAGCAGTTGAAATCTGTAGCGGCTTAGGATTTATTTTTCCTTGCTGCTGAGCTACAGCAGTAAGTACCACAGAATCACAGAATGGTCGGGGTTGGAAGGGACCTCTGTGGATCCCCCAGCCCAACCCCCTGCCGAAGCAAGGTCACCCAGAGCAGGCTGCACAGGACCTTGTCCAGGCCTTGAATATCTCCAGAGAAGGAGACATACACACTTTTACAGCAATTGTTACCGCATTATCCTAAACCAAGAGAAATACAATCTGATAATGGGGGACATTCTAAAGATAATCAGGTGGCACAGTGGGCATGGGAACAAGGCATAAAATGGGTATTTCACGTTCCCTGTTATCCTTGGGCTTCAGGAATGGCTGAACAGTTTAATGGTTTATTAAAAAGGCAACTGAAACTCCACCTCTCATTACAGAGTGTGGAAGCGGTACGTCTCCTGCATTTCAAGTTGTAGAGACTTCAAATACTACCCAACACTACATCAGTCTAAATTTTATGGGTTTAAATTTGTGCGACGCCCACTTACGCTGCCTTGGAGTATGGCTGTTGTGTGGCTACGACGGGACATGTCCAATACTGCAGCAAAAGGTCAACAAAACTGTGTATCAGACCTGACAGACGAAGATGAAGAACTGCTACTCCTGGCTCTGGACCCTGATCTTTCTGACTGCAACCATTGGCAGGTTGATGCCTGCGATGCAGAGATGTTCTCTGAACCTCCAGCGCTCTCCTCGAGTTCCCCGGACTCAGGATTCGTTGGACAATGTAGTGCTACAGGCAACGGACCATTCTCACCAGCTCCTCGACACGGCCATGCCAGGTTCGTGGCAAACGCGTCTCACCGCTCCCATAGCCGCATCACAACAAACGCTGGGGGGTAACACTGACCCCGACCACTCCCCACACGGAACTCCTGCTCCAGGGCGCAGACGTACCAGTTGGAGAGCGGAAGATGGATCAGGCGACGAATTTACCTTCGTCATACTCTGAAATTAGTGGGACAGGTACACATCGGTGGTGAATCTCTAACGTCCCTGTGGAAAATGGGTGTTACCAGTGACGCTGCGGGAGGGGATCTGTACATATCGAGTGGGTAAATTCTTGTCTTGTTTGTGATTATCACGGCCAACTTGCATTATATGATAACTCGGGCTGGGCTGCCGACTGTATTAATGTAGCATCGTTTAATAATTCTTATGGTCTATATAGCTGCCAACAATCACCAGAAATTCAGGATATGGGTGAAAATTGGATCATTAATATCACTGCCACCTATCCTAATGTATCCGTCTGTGCTCCTAGTCCAGTATAATGGCCTGTGTTTCCTTATCTTAGTAATGAGCTAACTGGTCAGAATCAGACAGGCATTCGGAAACCCCACTGGGTTTCTCCAAAATCTCCAGGGGGGACATATTTTCCTTTTAACCAGACTTGGATACCATACAACTGCAGCTCAGGACCTGAATTTCTGAATCCGACTCATGAAACCATTACGTTCTGGGGGTCCCAGAGCATGGCCAATTCGATCACTGTATACTGGACACATCATTTTATGGACATCAGTCTGGTGTTGTACCTATACCCACAGGAAACAGCTGGGGGGAAGCGAGGCGGCAGCGGAGGAATCTGGGGATTATTCTAACCCAGATCCACCCTCGACAGCCCGAACCTTTAGCAACGCACAGCCCCTCAGGGCAGTCGGGTTATGAAAACATTTCAAGAGATTTGCAATTCCTGTAATAGCTTCGTGATATGGCAATAACAACATAAAAAAAGTTTTTAAACCTTCAAAAAAAAGTCTTGCTTTATTACAATAGTTCTTGCTCTTCAAACATTTATTTCCTCATTTGAAAAAATACTATATGAATCTAATGACTACTTGAACATGCAATAAGATGCCTAACGCTATAAGCAGTGTGAACTGGTATTTTTGTAGAGAAATACATTAAAGGCTTTCACCCTTACACAGGTAAGGAAATGCCATTTCTGGCCATTTTGGCTTATTTGCAACATTGCCTGGGAATTAGCGCATACTGCACTGAGGTGCACGGAATCTTGCACACAGATGTGTAACCAAGTCGTGCTTAGGCAGCTGTGTGATGGAATTGCCAGTGGAAAGGCTGTCCATTGCCCAAATCCCCTTTTCTTTGTCAAAAGAGCCCACACGGATCACTTAAATGAGAAATACATGGCATTATTTTGTTTTATCATCTGTACAGTGTGTTACAATACAAATCTTAAATACCCATTCTACAAAAGAACAAACACAACTTTCAAAAGTGACTACAATGGCTATACTACACGATACCACCTACAATTTCATCTGAAACCAGAAAAGACGCCGAAAAATTACTGTGTAATTCAATAACATTTTTGAGGCAACTCAGGCACTAAAGTTAGTATCTGACAAGGTTTTAGATGCTGTTTTCCGTATTTTAAATAGTTGGATCTCTAGGTATAACCCCCTCTGCATTATTAGTACTAAAGTAGTTTCTTTGAGTTTACACAAAATGGACGAATTGCCAAGACAGTTTAAACTACGTGAAAATCATTCAAGTCTGATTGCTTCAGTTTCCTATGCTTCCAACTTTGTAATAACACACTCTGTGCTCTCTACCTTTACGTTCACGTTCTCACCTTGTGTTCAGATTTGTATTACGTATGGTGAATGCTGCAAGCACCAATCAAATGTTAGAAATCACATCTACATTTCTTGAAGCAGAGACAATTGTACTATTTTATAAAAAGCCGTGGAAATTCCCTTTACAGAACATTTAAGGCAGTTGAAATTCACGCTTGCTGCTTTGCCAGTGCTTCAGCTTCCTGAAACGACAGAACAGAAACACACACATTAGTACCTTATAAAAGGCGAGAACTCATGTACCTGTGTTAGCACATGGCGTAACAAAAGCTGCAGCAATACGTTAGGAAGAAGTGAGCAGCACTGAACCCAGCTCAAGAAAAGTCCCCACTGCCTGTGACGACATTATAAAACAAGTCCCGTACCGTGCTGGCTTTAACTCCAATTCTGAGCGAGCTCAAGTAGGACCTGCAGGAATATTCCAACCTGTGGCCAAGACCAGTTTTGACCATAAAAGTTTAAAACAAAAGAAGACAGATAAGAGTTATTCCCCATTTCACATTAGGACACAAGAACTATCTAGAGATCAAAGACTATCTGAAGAACTATGGTTAAATGGAAAAAGAATTCTTAATTAATTTAGCTTTTGCCTTCTAGAAGGGCGATCAGAGCAGCCTGCGAGTCCTTAGCCACAGCTGGGAGCTGCTCCAGCACAAAAGCCATCGGTGCGCTCCATCCCGGGGCTGGCAGCAGGTCTGTCCTGGCACCGGCACTGCCCAGTAATCCCAGCTCCCG